ATTCTCACAGATGGTGTTATGAGAGACCTCACGTGGTGTAGTAATTCCCTCACAGATGGTGTTATGAGGAGACCTGGCGTGGTGTAGTAATTCCCTCACAAATGGTGTTATGGGACCTGGCGTGGTGTAGTTCCCATATTGTTATGAGGGGCCTCACGGGGCCTCACGTGATGTAGTAATTCCCTCACAGATGGTGTTATGAGGGGCCTCACGGCCTCACGTGATGTAATAATTCCCTCACAGATGGTTTATGAGGGCCTCACGTGGAGTAGTAATTCCCAGATGGTTTATGAGGGGCCTCACGTGGTGTAGTAATTCCCTCACAGATGGTGTTATGAGGGGCCTCACGGGCCTCACGTGATGTAGTAATTCCTCACAGATGGTGTTATGAGGGCTCACGTGGAGTAGTAATTTCACAGATGGTGTTATGAGGACCTGACGTGGTGTAGTAATTCCCTCACAGATGGTGTTATATGAGTGAGTGTGGTCCCAGGCCTTCTATCGTAAACAGATTAACACATCGCTGGTTGTTGTTGGGTTGTTGTGTGTGTGTGTGTGTGTGTGTGTGTGTGTGTGTATGTAATAATAATAATGATAATAATAATAATAATAATAATGATAATAATAATAATAAATAAACGGTTATTGAAGAGAGCGAGTTAATTTATTGATGTTAATTAAATATATAAAGTAATAAGTGACAAAATAAGAATATAATAAGATGGGATCGTCAACTAGTTCATTTCAATGACAGTGTAGCGTGTTTGGATACACTGATTTATTAATGTTATTGATAATTTTACAATGGTTGGGATTGGGCTGTCTTATAGCGATCAGTTGTGCTTGGGTGGATGGGTTGTGGTTCGATAGCATCTGGAGGATGTTGTGTGGGTGTGTGTGTGTGTGTGTGTGTTGTATATAATAATAATAATAATAATATATATAATAATAAACGGTTTATTAATAGAGTTGCAGCAGATGGCTGAAAATATACAGACTTACATTTGATTTAGACATAATGATATAATATGGGTTGAACTACATTTACAGGGCTGTACAGTACATAAATCAGGAGTTGTTTATTATTTTAACAATAGATGGGATGGTGCTGTTCTGTGTGTGTGTGTGTGTGTGTGTGTGTGTGTGTGTGTGTGTGTGTGTGTGTGTTTGTGTGTGTGTGTGTGTGTGTGTGTGTGTGTGTGTGTGTGTGTGTGTGTGGTGTGTTTCTGTGTGTGTGTGTGTGTGTTGTGTGTGTGTGTTTCTGTGTGTGTGTGTGTGTGTGTGTGTTTCTGTGTGTGTGTGTGTGTGTGTGTGTGTGTGTGTGTGTGTGTGTGTGTGTGTGTGTGTGTGTGTGTGTGTGTTGTGTGTGTGTGTGTGTGTGTGTGTGTGTGTTTCTGTGTGTGTGTGTGTGTGTGTGTTTCTGTGTGTGTGTGTGTGTGTGTGTGTGTGTGTGTGTGTGTTTCTGTGTGTGTGTGTGTGTGTGTGTGTGAGTGTGTTTCTGTGTGTGTGTGTGTGTGTGTGTGTGTGTGTGTGTGTGTGTGTGTGTGTGTGTGTGTGTGTTTCTGTGTGTGTGTGTGTGTGTGTGTGTGTGTGTGTGTGTGTGTGTGTGTGTGTGTGGAGTGTGTTTCTGTGTGTGTGTGTGTGTGTGTGTGTGTGTGTGTGTTTCTGTGTGTGTGTGTGTGTGTGTGTTTCTGTGTGTGTGTGTGTGTGTGTGTGTGTGTGTGTGTGTGTGTGTGTGTTTCTGTGTGTGTGTGTGTGTGTGTGTGTGTGTGTGTGTTTCTGTGTGTGTGTGTGTGTGTGTGTGTGTTTTGTGTGTGTGTGTGTGTGTGTGTGTGTGTGTGTGTGTGTGTGTGTGTGTGTGTGTGTGTGTGTGTGTGTGTGTGTGTTTTGTGTGTGTGTGTGTGTGTGTGTGTGTGTGTGTTTCTGTGTGTGTGTGTGTGTGTGTGTGTGTGTGTGTGTGTGTGTGTGTGTGTGTGTTTTTAACAAGTTAATGCTGCTGTAACACGTGTGACTTCTTTATGGTAGCCGACGCTCCCTCCCTCCTTCTTCCATCCTCCCTCCCTCCCTACCTCTCCCTACCCCCCTCCTCATTCTCTCCCCCTCACCTACCTCTCTCCCTCCCTCCCTCCTCATTCTCTCCCCCCCCCACCTCTCCTCCTCCCTCCTCCCCTCACCCAACCTCTCCTTCCTCCACCTCCCTCCCTCCCCCTCACCCCTACCTCTCTCCCCTTCCTCCAACCCTCCTCCCTCCCCCTCACCCCTACTCTCTCCCTCCCTCCCTCTCATTCTCTCCCCCTCACCCCTCCCCTCTCCCTCCCTCCCCCCTCCCTCTAACCCCTTCCTCCCTTCATCCTCCTCCCTCCCCACCCCTACCTCTCTCCCTCCCTCCCTGCTCATTCTCTCCCCCTCCCCACCCCTCACCTCTCCCTCCCCTCCCCTCCCCAACCTCTCCTTCCTCCAACCCTCCCCTCCTCCCCTCCCCCTACCTCTCTCCTCCCTCCCCTCCTCATTCTCTCCCCCTCCCCTCATCCTCTCCCTCCCCTCCCCTCCCTACCCTGCTCTCACCCCCTCACCCAACCTCTCTCCCTCCCTTCCCTCCTCATTCTCTCCTCCCCATCCTTCCTCCTCCCCTCTGTACCTTCCATCCTTCCTCCCACCCTCCCTCTCACCCTCCCTCTCTCCCTCTCCTTCCTCTATCACCTCCTTATAGTGCCCTTCACTATGTGTTGGTGTGTCATGTGTGTGTTGGTGTGTCATGTGTGTTGATGTGTCATGTGTGTGTTGGTGTGTCATGTGTGTCGGTGTGTCATGTGTGTGTTGGTGTGTCATGTGTGTGTTGGTGTGTCATGTATGTGTTGGTGTGTCATGTGTGTTGTGTGTCATGTATGTGTTAGTGTGTCATGTATGTGTTGTGGTGTCATGTGTGTGTGTTGATGTGTCATGTGTGTTGATGTGTCATGTGTGTGTTGGTGTGTCATGTATGTGTTGGTGTGTCATGTGTGTGTTGGTGTGTCATGTATGTGTTGGTGTGTCATGTGTGTGTTGGTGTGTCATGTATGTGTTGGTGTGTCATGTATGTGTTGGTGTGTCATGTATGTGTTGGTGTGTCATGTGTGTGTTGGTGTGTCATGTATGTGTTTTGTGTCATGTATGTGTTGGTGTGTCATGTGTGTGTTGATGTGTCATGTGTGTTGATGTGTCATGTGTGTGTTGGTGTGTCATGTATGTGTTGGTGTGTCATGTGTGTGTTGGTGTGTCATGTGTGTGTCGGTGTGTCATGTATGTGTTGGTGTGTCATGTGTGTGTTGGTGTGTGTGTGTTGGTGTGTATGTGTTGGTGTGTGTGTGTTGGTGTGTGTGTGTTGGTGTGTGTGTGTTGGTGTGTGTGTGTTGGTGTGTATGTGTTGGTGTGTGTGTATGTGTTGGTGTGTGTGTTGGTGTGTATATGGTGTATGTGTTGGTGTATGTGTTCGTGTGTTGGTGTGTGTGTTGGTGTGTTGGTATGTATGTGTTGGTATGTATGTGTTGGTGTGTATGTATGTGTATGTTGATGTGTGTGTGTGTGTGTTGGTGTGTGTGTGTTGGTATGTATGTGTTGGTGTGTGTTGGTGTATGTGTTGGTGTTGGTGTGTTGGTGTATGTGTTGATGTGTATAATGTGTTGGTGTGTATGTGTTGGTGTGTGTGTATATGTTGGTGTGTCATGTGTGTTGGTGTGTCATGTATGTGTGTTGGTGTGTCATGTGTGTGTTGGTGTGTCATGTATGTGTTGGTGTGTCATGTGTGTTGATGTGTCATGTGTGTGTTGGTGTGTCATGTATGTGTTGGTGTGTCATGTGTGTTGATGTCATGTGTGTGTTGTGGTGTGTCATGTGTGTTGGGTGTCATGTGTTTGATGTGTCATGTGTGTGTTGGTGTGTCATGTATGTGTTGGTGTGTCATGTGTGTTGATGTGTCATGTGTGTGTTGGTGTGTCATGTATGTGTTGGTGTGTCATGTGTGTTGATGTGTCATGTGTGTGTTGGTGTGTCATGTATGTGTTGGGGTGTCATGTGTGTTGATGTGTCATGTGTGTGTTGGTGTGTCATGTATGTGTTGGTGTGTCATGTATGTGTTGATGTGTCATGTATGCCAGTGTGTGTCATGTACGTGTTAGTGTGTCAGGTATAGCCATGTGCGTGCTGTTGTGGCAAGTGTGTGTCAGTGTGTCAAGTGTGCGGTAGTGTGTCAAGTGTGCGGTAGTGTGTCAAGTGTGCGTTAGAATGAGGTTCGTGTTGTTGTGTGTGCCAGGTGTATGAGTGAGGCAGGTGTGTGTAGAGTGGCGGCACAGGTGTCTCATTGACTGAGGACGGAGAAGCGATTGACCTCCGGGCGCGCAGTGAGAGTTGCATCACAAGACCAGCCTCACTACTAGGACGACCCGGGGCATTACCTCCCTCCTGCAGGCGGGGACACCTCATACTGAGGCTACTACATGAGTAAGAGGTGTTTAGTAGATTGTGTGTTATCATGTTTGTTGACACAAATGCTATTGATCAGACGAAAGGAAGTTATCGGGTAAGACAGGTGAGATCAATAGGGCCGCGCCATGTGCTCGCCCCACGTGGGTTTGTATACATTCCGGCCCGCAGGAAAGTTGGCCGGCGGCCGAAGTCATCCTCGAAGTCCTGGGAAGACTGCGGCTACCGACGGCGTCTCACAGCGCTGCGCCGCTCCCTGCCATCTAAACACGCCGTAGGTCCAACAATGGCAGCCCCCAACGCCACTGGAATAGTGCCTCTCATTCCAGGCCTGGAACGGCCGGGATGTGCGATACCGGCTGCGGTTTTCCGTCTCACGTCCCCCTGCTAGTGTTTTAAGTGGTGCAAGTGCTGAAAGGCGGACACTAGGCTCAAGAATTTGATGGCTACTTCAACGAATGATTGCTTGTTTGAGGAATAATTCAGTATAAGTTGTATTTTAGTCATGTAAACAAAGACAGCCTGACTGAACATCCCCGGCCGAGCTGCGTACTAGAGTGCGCGAAGTGTAGCCATACAAACATGGACGTCTGTGGAAGGGCAAGTCTCGTGATTTTGTGAAATTTTAGTGACTTTACGCTTGACCAGGGCTCCGTGGGTGTGACCAGGATCAAGATTAAGGTATTGGTGTTTGTTTGGTGTAGCCAGCAAGGTGTTGGAGTGTGTGTAAGAGGTGTTATAGCGAGGAGATGAGCGAGGCCGGGGCAGGCGCGGGGGCCGGGGGGGAGCGCGGCGCGAGTCCGGGGCTGGGCGGGTGCGGGGCTGCGGGTCCGCCAGCTGCTGACTCGCCTGCCGCCACCACGGCTGACGCTGCCTCGCCACTCTGCTCATCGCCACCGTCCCCAACCCCAGAACCCGACGACCCATCGCCGACCCCCACGCGCGCCTCAGTCGCGCGACACGTGCCCACGCGCCCGGACCACCTCGCCCCCGCGCACCACCCGCCGCTCTCCCTCGCCACTCACCACCACAGCCCCGACCCTGACGATCCTGACGACGATCCTGACCTGCAGCCAAGAATCTTACACACCCAAACGGTTGCCCTCCACCATCCGGAGGACGACAGTGAACTGTCCCCCTCGGCTCACGTCAACTATAAGGACGAGCCTCTCAGTGTTAGTGTTGTGCACGAGGACTCACAGTTGGACTCGCATGACTCGGGACTACTGAGTCCCAGTGAACTTTCTCCTCGCGAAGGTCAGGTTAGTGTACCAAGTATGATTGACGCGTCGGACTTCAGATCACTCCAGCCGGAGCCTATATACCAGAACCTGTCGTCGATGAACGGCCGCATGTCGCCGCCAGGGTTCTCGCCTTCGTCAGCGAGCAGTTATGCAACGCTGACGCCCTTGCAGCCGCTGCCACCCATCAGCACAGTGTCAGACAAGTTCGCCTACGGCCACACGGGTAATGTGTCAGGCAGCTTCACGGTGATGCAAAACAATAGCCTGGGGAACATGCTCTCCATGGGCTCGCCTTACCAGTATGACAAACTCTCCATGTCGCCGCCACACTACACATCAAACAACGGCCTGGGCCTTAACCTGGGACATCAACACTCGCCTCTCTCACCACACTCTTACCAGAATGGCTTGGCGTCCCCACAGAAGTCGCTCAGTCCCAACGGTTATGATTCGCCCTATACTCGGCAGGACATGAGCCGCACCACCCTGGCGGCACCACAGTCACCAACACTGTCACCTCCAGTATCTCTTCACTCGCCACCACAAGCATTTTCGAACTTCAGCGCGGCGCCCACGCCCACATTAACCACCACGTCCCTCAATATGAACGGGCTGACGGGTGGCAGCGGGCTGGGTTCGTTGTCACCTCAGGCAGTGTCTCCACACAGTCCCAACTATAGCCCTCACCATCACCTGCAAGTGCCGCCGTCACCGCCACCCATCAAGCAGGAACCCATCTTGCACGGTGCAAGTCTAGGCTGTCAGCTAGCTAATATGGCGCCGAACATGCCCACCACCATCTCTCAGAGCCCCCCACATGCCCACATGGCCGTGACTATGGCACAACAAGCTATGGTACCGTCTGCCCCTATGTCAGTCGCGACAGCTTCTGTAGGAGGATCTCAATTGCCCATGAAGACGACACAGATGGCCACCACCAGCGCGGGAAACGTGGGCGCGGGAGCGGGTGAGGTTGAAGAAATCAACACTAAAGAACTGGCGCAGCGCATTTCGGCCGAGCTCAAGAGGTACTCCATTCCTCAAGCCATCTTCGCCCAGCGTGTCCTCTGTCGCTCTCAAGGCACACTGTCAGACCTGCTCAGGAACCCTAAGCCCTGGTCCAAGCTCAAGTCTGGCCGCGAGACCTTCCGGCGCATGTGGAAGTGGCTGCAGGAACCAGAGTTCCAGCGGATGTCAGCCCTCAGATTAGCAGGTAAGTTCAGACAGCTTTTTCCTTCCATCGGCCCGGATTAGTTGTCCCAGTGACGGTAACTGACCGTCACGACCTGTGTCCCACAGTGACGGTAACTGGCCGTCACAACCTGTGTCCCACAGTGACGGTAACTGTCCTTCACGACCTGTGTCCCACAGTGACGGTAACTGTCCGTCACGACCTGTGTCCCACAGTGACGGTAACTGTCCTTCACGCTGGGATACCAAATGTGAAGATAAACAACTAAAATGTATGACAATGTTTAATATTTCTGGTTATCACGACTTACCTGGATGAGGATATTAGTAGGTAAACTACCATGCGGGGTAAACTACCATGAGGGGTAGACTACCATGAGGGCGAACTACAGTGAGGGGTGACCTACAGTACCATGGGGGGTGCAGTAGCCCAGGAAGCACAGTAACAGTGCATGGTCCGGGTAACACACTTCTTTATTATCATCATGGTGCTTATAGTGTCCCTGGCTACCGCTCACGGCTACACAGGTGTTCACTGCTGTTGGCGTTATATTTAAACAACAGCGCTACACTACATTGTATATTAATTGCCCGGCATTTAAGAGGTCGGGTGGGGTGTAGCTGTGCGTCGCGTTAATAAACAAGAACAGCTGTCATTTGACGCCGTGTGGAGACAGACGCGATAAATTGATACTCACCCAAAATAATGTTGCATTATCAGGTAGTAGAATATTAATCCTTATACCGTCATATTTTCACAAGAGTTTAGAGGACGCTGGGTGAGGGGGAGACCCGCGCCCGACACCAACCACTATTTCTTTACACTTTTCTTATTTTTTTACATACCGTTATAATAAACCTTTTCTCCAACTTCATAAATATTTTTCACTCATTTTCATATGTTATTGGGTAGGTCATTCATGTATATATTTTATAAAAAGTTATCGTGCAAATTCTGTGGGAACATGAGCGGTGTTCAGTAGCGGTCATCAGGCGAGCATGGTCTTATGGTCCACATACTGACCTAACTTCAACACATTTAATTTGTTATAACACTATGAAGGGAGTCATGAGTGTTTGAGTAATGTTAAGCGTGAGAAGTGAGTATCAGTGTAACACGAGTAATATATAATATTTTGATGTTGGTGGTTGGTGGTGTGTGTCAGCGGCGGGCTGCTGACAGACCCGGCACGCGACCCGCTCCCCCTCCACCACGCCACACACCCTACACCTCCACCACGCCACACACCCTTCACCACAGTTGCCGTCGCCACACACCCTACACCACAGTTGCCGTAGCCACACACCCTACAGAACCGCCGTCGCCACACACCCTACACCAGCGCCGCCTACCACACACACACCCTTCACCACTAGTAAACAATATACCACATTCATTGTAAATTGCTAATTGTAACTTTTATGCTTATTGCGTTGAGAAGTAAAGTGTGGGACACACACACACACACACACTAACTTACTTTACTTGGAAGTATAATACAAGGTTTACTGGATATAATGATGGATGTTAAACAAGGCGGGTGGCGGGTGGCAGCGGCGGCTCACTACCTGCCGCCCGCCGCCTCACCACACACACACACACACCTACCGCTGCCGGGTCGCCGCCTCACCACACACACACACACCTACCGCTGCCGGGTCGCCGCCTCACCACACACACACACACCCTACGCTGCCGGGCCGCCTCACCACACACACACACACACACACTACCGCGCACCTACCGCTGCCGGGTGCCACCTCACCACACACACACACCGCTACACACACACACCGCTGCCGGGTCGCCGCCTCACCACACACTACCGCTGCCCGGGTCGCCGCCTCACCACACACACCCTACCACCGCTGCCGGGTCGCCGCCTCACCACACACACACACACCTACCGCTGCCGGGTCGCCGCCTCACCACACACACTCACCTACCGCTGCCACACACACACACACCTACCGCTGCCGGGTCGCCGCCTCACCACACACACCTACCGCTGCCGCGTCGCCCGCCTCACCACACACACACACACCTACCGCTGCCGGGTCGCCGCCTCACCACACACACCTACCGCTGCCGGGTCGCCGCCTCACCACACACACACACACACACACACACATCTACCGCTGCCGGGTCGCCGCCTCACCACACACACACACACCTCAAGATAAGCCACAAAGCGTCGCAATTCTTCTAGACTTTTAATGATGAAGAACTAATATATCAGTTAGTGGTAATGTATTCACGAGAGTGTGTGTGTACATTCTTTCAAGAAGTTGGTAAATATCTGAGTGGTGACCTGTTCAATGATGAAGTACATACGTGTAGTGCATTATTGAGGGCAAGAGGCCGCTCATCTACCTTCTCTCACTGTAATAACTCTCACCGGTGTTCTTGCAGTCCTGTTATGAATATCGGATCAGTGAGGGGGCTCTTTCAACCCCCACTACTCCCTCACCCCCAACCCCTCACCTTCTCCCTCGCCCCCACCCCCTCACCTTCTCCCTCACCCCCCACCGCTCCCCTCACCCCCACCCCTCACCTCCTCCCTCGTTTCATTACAAATGTTTTGATACAACGATTTAAATGTGCTATGTTTACTACCCCTTCCCTCCCCTTCCTTCCCTTCCTCCTTCCCTCCTTCCTTCCCTTCCCTCCCCACTCCCTTCCCTGTGGCCAATTTATAGTACACCACTACACACCTCATACTACCACATCCTATCTACCACACTACCACCAGCATACACAGTACCACATCTACCACACCTCACCACACACTACCACACTACCACTACCACACATACCACCACCATTACCACATCACCACCTGCTACCTCACACCACTACCTACCACCACACTACCAACACTACACCCCTACACCACCACTACTGCCTACACCTACACTACCACTACTACCACACCACTACCACCATTACCTCACACTACCACCACCACCACCATTACCTCACACTACCACCACCACTACCTCACACTACCACCACCACTACCACCATTATCTCACACTACCACCACACCTACACTCTACCAGCCCTTACAGACTCTGCCACCTACACTCATCTGTAATTATAACACTAACGCTAACCTAACCTAACCTAATCTAACCTAACCTAACCTAATCTAACCTAATCTAACCTAACCTAACCACATACCAACTAGTTTACGAACAAATTACAAAAAATAAATAAATAAAGTTAATCCAATTATATAAAAAAAATGTGTATTAAGCCTTTGAGTCCTGAAGGGTTAACTCATCATCCTCAAAGGGTTAAACTATCTTAATCATCGTCCTCAAAGGGTTAAACTATCGTAATCATCGTCCTCAAAGGGTTAAACTATCGTAATCATCGTCCTCAAAGGGTTAAACTATCGTAATTATCGTCCTCAAAGGGTTAAACTATCGTAATCATCGTCCTCAAAGGGTTAAACTATCGTAATCATCGTCCTCAAAGGGTTAAACTATCGTAATCATCGTCCTCAAAGGGTTAAACTATCGTAATCATCGTCATCAAAGGGTTAAACTATCTTAATCATCGTCCTCAAAGGGTTAAACTATCTTAATCATCGTCCTCAAAGGGTTAAACTATCGTAATCATCGTCCTCAAAGGGTTAAACTATCTTAATCATCGTCATCAAAGGGTTAAACTATCTTAATCATCGTCATCAAAGGGTTAAACTATCGTAATCATCGTCCTCAAAGGGTTAAACTATCTTAATCATCATCATCAAGGGGTTAAACTATCGTAATCATCGTCATCAAAGGGTTAAACTATCGTAATCATCATCCTCAAAGGGTTAAACTATCGTAATTATCGTCCTCAAAGGGTTAAACTATCGTAATCATCGTCCTCAAAGGGTTAAACTATCTTAATCATCGTCCTCAAAGGGTTGAACTATCGTAATCATCATCCTCAAAGGGTTAAACTATCTTAATCATCGTCCTCAAAGGGTTAAACTATCTTAATCATCGTCATTAAAGGGTTAAACTATCGTAATCATCGTCATTAACATATAAATACAACTATAAATACAATATGAATTCCATAATAAAAATTAACTTATATCTCGTAAGAATATTAATGTTACGTGACGCGGAAATAGTGAAGTGATTTTGATCAGCTTTTAAGGGACGATTGAGAGCGAGTGTATGTGATAAATACGTGTTGTGTTACGGCGACCATTGTGACGCTGTTACATAGTGAAGTGTTTCTAAGTCAAACAATGTACCTAGAGCAGTGTAGGTATACAATGTACCTAGACAGTGTAGGTATACAAACAATGGTAAACAATGCTGTGATATAGGGTACACACACACACACACACACACACACACACACACACACACACCACGGGAGATATATCCTGTGTGTTTTGAAATATTTGTAAGTCATAATTTAATGTATTTTTGCTTTTATATTGAAATTTTTAATTGTTGTGCAGACTAAAAGTAAATATTTCGAGTATTACCTAACCTAACCTAACCTAATTATTATTTATTTGGGTATAATTAGGTAATATTTAAAAAAAAATCATTTTTATTCGACAGTGATATTATTATTGTTATTATTATTATTGTTATTATTATTATTGTTATTATTATTATTGTTATTGTTATTATTATTATTATTATTATTATTGTTATTGTTATTATTATTATTGTTATTATTATTATTATTATTATTATTATTGTTATTATTATTATTATTATTATTATTATTATTATTATTATTATTAAGGCTAAGACAGAACGGTCTACTGAGGCAAGGGAAGAGTGTGCAAGAGGTCACGGGATTCAGGTGTTAAGAACAGTACCCACACACTCACTCTGGTCACCACACACTCACTCTGGTCACCACACACTCACTCTGGTCACCACACACTCACTCTGGTTACCACACACTCACTCTGGTCACCACACACTCACTCTGGTCACCATACACTCACTCTGGTCACCACACACTCACTCTGGTTACCACACACACTCTCTCTG